GTGGTTAGTGTGGAGGGAGGTTTTTATTGTCAGGGAAGGCTCATAGTGAACAGCTTTGGAGACAGATGTCTGTTCTTGATTTTCATTTGTTAAATTTTGAAGCCATTCACTTGGTCTTCACATTCATAATGTTTTAACACACTTTACAATGACAGTCAGTCTTTTAATAATCAACAACTGCAGCCTTCACACCTCAACATAAAGTTAGCAAATCCTCACAACTGGATCAATAAGCAACATCATGATAAACCCACAATCAATGCCCATGGAAGCTGCACTGAAGAAATCAGTCGACATGCTGCAATGGACAGATCTCCTGCAAAAGACATCTTTAAAGTATTAAAAACAACCAAACAAGGATGTCATTTTAAGAACTAAGGTGTGCCTAATCCAAGTTATGGTATTTTCTATCTCATGCAAGCAAAAGCTGGTGGGCAATGAATAAGAAAGACCAAAGAAGCATGGATGTGTTTGAATTATGTTGAAGAAAATGAATAACTTTGTCGTGGAAGAAGTACAGTGAGAATGCTACTTAGAAGTGAAAATAGAAAGACTTTGTTTCATGTGCTTTGGACGGGATACCAGGAGGGAAACGTTCTTGGAGAATAACATCATGCTTGGAAAAGTAGAGTCTGTGAAAAAGAGAAAGACCTTCAAGGAAATGAATTAACTAGTGGCTGCAACAATGTGCTCAAACATAACAAAGATTGTGAGGATAGTGCAGTATCGCGCAGTGTTTCGTTCGGTTGTACATGGGGTTGCTGTGAGTCAGAACCAACTCAATACCTAGCAATAACTGTGACAATTGAAAAATTCAGTTAAATTTTTTATTTTCTACTGAAAGGAGAACCTTTAAAGTTGTGATTGCACATGAAGACTTGTGGAATAATGGTCTTAATTCAGGGTGTAACAAATAATTTGCAATTAAAATAATTCTTATTAACATTGCCTTTCTAAATTGATGTTATGTATTGATAGAATCTAATAATACAGTCTACATAATAGTTATAATACTTTTAATTAAGATTTTTTTTTTATGCTAGCATTTATATTTCTGTATTCTATGTCATCGTTCCTCTAGTAAGGTATTTTTTACTTGCTCAGGTTATATACTTGGTTTTGTTTTTTGTTTTTTTAGGTTTTTATTGTGAATTGAGTGATAGTTTACACAGGAGAACGTCAGTTTTATACTCATCCTATCGTATTTCGTTTTCATTGCAATTATTACAATCTCCTCCATGCATTGTCATTCAACAGTATTTGCCTCTATTCCTTCTTTGGTTTGTTTGTTTGTTTGTTTGGTGTACACCAAAACACTTAGGAATATGTAATCGTTCAAACAACCAAAGGGCATAGTAAGCCTGCCCCCCAGCTGCCAGCACACAGCCCCTCTCCCTCCATGAGTCTAGAGTCCCCAGCCGCTCCATCTCTCCACATCATCATCTCTGCCTCCATCTCTGGCGTCACTGCTTGTCTGAATAGGGCCCCACACTCCAATCCCACTCTTCTCCCTTTGTGGTCCCAGGGTTCTACACTCCTGGGCGGCAATATCAACCGATCCCTGCATTTTGTTACAAAACATCTACCTCTACATTTGTGACGATCACAATCAGTGCTGATAGCAGTTACTGACTATTGAACCACAAGAATCTTATCCTCGTCTCCGCTTACCCGCCCCATCTAGACAGGTTGAAAACCACTCGACCTTACCTTGAATCCTCTGAATCTAAACTCCCTCTTGAAAACTTGTAAGCCGATCACTTTGTGCCTTTATAGCCCTCTCCTCCGCCCCCCATTTTAGTTAGCCAATGTCTAAGTTACCCATCCCTATCAACCCTGTGTAAGAGAGGGTGTAGGGATGATCCTTGCTGTGAGGATTCCTTCCCCCTTTTAAGCTACTACATCCATAAGTGTAAGTCAAGTTCATCAAATTGTAGCAGATTACACTTTTTTTCTCTTCTTTTTTCATCTAGTCAAGTTCTGATCATCCAGTCATTGAAGCTAGGTCAAATGGGTACTATCTGCAAGTATAGGCATCCTTGTGCATCTCCCCTCACTTCATATCAGCTGGATGCTTCACTCTCATCTTTAGTCCTCTGTGGCTATGTTCCTGTCCATAGGCTCAGGAGTCCCCAGGTCTCTCCATACTCCAGCTTGACAGGAGTCTACTGAATGTGGTTGGACTCAGCCCACATTTTCTTTGCTGCTTTCCCCCTCATCAATAGACCAACATGTTTGCCAGAAATATTACATGCCTGCTCATGTATTCCCTTTGAGTTTCAGTCTTGGAAGGGGGTTGCCCTGAAGGGACTTGAGTGCTTGCCTTGCAGGCTTGGTTTTATATGTTGTTTTAGTCTTTAAGTATATATAAGTGAACCTCTCATTAACTTTGTTCCCATGAAAAGTTTTATGTTATTTTAACTAATGAGGCAGTGGGTTGTAGTGGTAAGACTGACTAATGGCCTAGGAGTGAGAAGATCTCATTTCTAGTTCTGATATAGATTTTCTCTATAATTTATTAATTAATAAGTCATTTAGTCTTTTTCATCTATAGAAAAGCTTTTAAAAAATCGTAGTCTGAACAAGATGTCATAGACTCCCAATGTCTCCCTACTAAGTAATATTTTAAAACCTGAAAACAATACAAGAGACAGTCAGAGGAAAACTCTGAAAGATGGTTGAAGAAGAAGGTGATCTGAATAGGGCCTTCTGATTAGAGGAACACCACAGCCACAGGCCTTCTTAAAACCCTTTATCCACTAAAAGAAGATCTCAGGATTGGTCTTGACCCCCAACTTGACAATAGAATGTGGCAGGTAGGCTCATTCCTCCCCTGGAACAAATAGCATTCCACCAACACTAGGCAAAGCCCAGGAAAAACCTGCAAGTAGGATTGGCCACTAGGAAATTTCTCTTCCTCATAGCAGATTCCTTCCACTTTCTCAGTGCTGGCAGTCACATTAAGTTCCCACTTCAAGGAATTAGAATAAGAGTAAAAACTCAAAGCTAGCGGAAGGGAAGAGATAAAAATAGAACTCAATAAGACAAAACGAGAAAATCGGTGAGACAAAATGCTGGTTCTTTGAAAAAAAAAATCAATAAAATTATTAAAACTTTTGCAAGAGTGGCAGAAATAAATAGAGGGCACTAACTAATTAATGGAGTCCTGGTGTGGCACTGTGGGCTAATGTGCCAGACTGCAAAGCCTTTTGAACTAAAAGGTTGGTAGTTCAAGCTCGCCAGCTGCTTCTCAGAAACCCTATACAGGGTTGCTATGGGTTGTAACCGACTTGACGGCACTTAACATCAACAACAACAACAACTAATTAATACAAAGAATGAAATAGGGACTATCAATACAGATCCAGTAGCCATGAAAAGTCTAATAAGGGAATGCTATGAAAAACTGTGCACTCATAAGCTTGACAGCTTAGAAGAAATGGACCAATTAATCAAAAACCTGAACTGCCAAAAGCACTCAACTGAGATGAAGTTTTGAGCAGTCCTATACCCATTACATAAATTCAATTCGTAATTTTAAAACAACTGAAAAATAAATCTTCAGATTTTCACATAGTTTTACCAGAGAATTTTACCAAACAAAAAAATCAGCCAGTATTTACAGTGTCTTCCAGAAATAGGTCGACATAAATACATCTAATTAGTATTTGGCAAATGTACAAAATCCGATCAATAAAGGGTAGCATTTTCAACAAATAGTGTTAGAACAGTTGGGCAGAAAAAAATGAACCTTTTATGAAAGTATTTAGAGAAGATCAGAACTTTCTTAGAATTGATGCCAAAATCATGATGATCTATCTGCTAAAGGAAAAACTGATGAATTGGACTTTGTCAAAATTAAAAACTTCTATTCTAGGAAAACCTTAAGAGAATGAAAAGACAAGCTGTAGACTCAAGAAAATATTTTCAAATTGCATATCCAACAAAGAGCTGCTATCTTGAATATATAAAGAACTTCCAAAGCTTTAATACTAAAGAAACCAACAATCCAGTTAGAAGTGGCAAAAGTTGATAGATAATAGTGACAACAAATAGTGGTAAGGATGCAGAGAAAGTGGATCACTCATCCATAGCTGGTTGGACTGATACAGCCACTCTGGGAAAACAGTAACTATTGATAAATGCAGCAACTTGGTTGAATCTCCAAGGAATTATGCTAAGTAGAAGAATTTGTTAAGAATAAAAGGTATTGTGTTGGATTGTGGTGTCTCTGTAGAACAAGCACTGGACTGAGACCCACAAGATCAACAGTTCAAGCCCTCCTGCATCTGTAAGAGAAAGATGAGCCCTTCTGCTCCCGCTCAGATTTACAACCTCAGAAACTGGTTGTAATGAATCGGAACTGACTTAATCATTAAATATTTTTTGAAGATTTCCTTTGTGTTGGTCACATTGCAAATAAAGAGGTCTGAAAAGAAGTACGATTAGCATGTGAACAGTGTCAATTATAGGCTAGATCTGGAGTTGGTATTGGAGTTTAAATATTTTTTTATTATAACAATTTTTATTTTCAATTTCAAGAAACTCAAAAGGTTTTAGTATTTGATTAGCCAATTAACTTTGGCTTTCTTTTGCTCTTAATAACACATAATGTTATGTGTTATTAGTGGCACTTGGTTCAATGAGATCTAGTAATAACAATTAAAAACTTTTTAATTATTATTTGAATATTTCATTAAATAGTCCCAGTGTGGCACTGTAGGATAAGCATTGGACTGCTAAGTGCAAAGTCGTCAGTTCAAACCCACTAGTCGTTCCTAGGAAACCCTGTTGGAACCAACTCAGCAGCACTTATCAGCAATAATTTTATTAAATCATTTTGGAGATAGGCTTGCTTTTTTTCCCCCTATTTAGCAATTAAACAATTTGGAGATCTGGTGATAAATTCCATAATAGTTCAGGGTACTTCTGTTTATATATGCCCAAATGTTAAAACTTCATTTCTCCTCATCAGTTTCTTTTCCCTTTTGTTTTTCAAGTGTCAATATACAGTATCTGGTTTTATGACAAGAATGACTGTCACCGCATAGCCAAACTCATGGCCAAGTAAGTATTTGTGTTACTTCATAGTTTTGATTAACAGTATAAGAGATATGGTGTGGGTGGAGGGGACAACGACTTTTTCTTTCACTTGTCTTTGTTACTAGATTTGATTACCGTATATTTCCCTCCTGATTCCCTATTTGTTGTCAAAAATTTAGTAAGGAAATGTAAAGCTATCTGTAATCCTGATCCCGAAAGGTAAGCATTTCAGTCTGTTTCCTTTTCCATCATTTTCACTATGTATAGTAAGTTGATGTGTGTGATCATTTCTTTAAAAACTAGCATCATAGTGTACATAGTGCTTTTAATGTCACCACCATTTTCCCAGAACATTATAAATAGTCCTCTATAATATTTATAGTGGCAGCATTGTGTTTCATCCTATGAGCTGGTCATAATTTAGACAGCACCTGACTGTGCAGCATGTGAAGGCCATCAAGCTGCCAGGGAGCTCATCATCCTGACTGCCACATGCAGTGCTTCTGATCTCGGTCTTTCTGTAGTCCTATGGTAACAAGTAGCACTTGTGCAGTTGCCTGATGCAGAAAACTCTTGCACGTGTCCATGGTTAGTTTCTCTAAGTAAATTTAGCACTGACACCACAGATTGTAGGTTTAGCAGTCCCCAGTCCACTAATGGATTGTATTCCATTTTTAAATTAGCATCTTGATTTTTGGAGAGCAGTTTCCATTGAATTAATGCTCAAAAAGGTGTCTTGATGTCCTTTTGTCAAGCTAGCCTACAAAACTGCCCCTCTGTCAAATCAAAATTTCCTTTGCTCTCCTGCCCTGTTTTTGTGTATATGTCTGTGTGGTTTATGGCAGTCTAGGCTCTGGGAGCCCAGGAGCCTGTACTGTTACAGGGCCCGACTTGCTGCAGAACTTTGGTCAGATTGCTAAGTAGGCAGTGTGTTCTTGTATACTTCTGCTTCCCTTTCAGTTTTTGTCTGGATGTTTTCAGAAATGTGGCCCTCTCATCCTCTTCTATCAAATCAAAATTCTTTTTGTTCTCCTACATTCTTACCTACATGTTGGAAAGTAAACCGTCTTTAATTTTTATAAACAGTTTGTTATTAACTAATCCTATAAAAAATATACATGAATTATTAGCCCCAAAACTTCAGCTCCAGGTTTATTTGCATTTTTTGGTGAAAATAAAGGTGTACATGACTAAGTCCAAGTGCTAGTCCAGAACAGCTATTATGTGTGTCCCGGTTGTATGTGAACCAGCCTGCTGCCATATTGTCTGTTGTGGTTGTGAGCTTGATGGCAGGTCTATGTGGATTACTCTGCACCACAGAAGACATTGTTTCATATGACCATATAACCTCTCTTATTTGAAAATGGGTTGGTTCTCTTAGAACCACACTTTCTTTTTGAAATACCTTTTCTATAAAAAAGATAAAACCACTTTTAAGCAAACCCATTTTTGTTGTTGTTTTTGTTTTTTTTTACAACATTCTGGTTTTGGGAAGAGAGACTGAGGAAGTCCTTACTCTGACTTTTCTTACTTTATGTATTTCTTAATTAAAAATCAACTTAAGCACCACCAATAAAAGCACATTCTATCAGTAACATTTGAGGCTTCATTTAGGATCTCTGTTTGCTTCTTCTTGATGGTAATGGTGGTTGGTGGTTATGTGCCATGAAGCCGGTTCTGACTCAGCAACCCTGTATAGGGTTTTCGAGGCTGTAAATCTTTACAGGAGCAGAAACTTTCATCTTTCTCCTGCAGAACAGCTGGTATTTAAAACTGCTGACCATGAGATTAGCAAGCAGCCCAACTCATAACCAGTATGCTACCAGAGCTCCTTTCTCCTTGATAGCATTGTTCATTTCAAATTCCCTTCAATTAATTTGACTGATTTAAAGATATTTCTAGAAAAGAAAAGACCTTAGTAAGATTTTTATGTACCTACTTCTATGAACAAATTCCATATTACTATCTATAAAAGTGGAAATAGTAGCTGCCATGTTGGTAGCATGCTGGTGAAATGATAAGTCGTCTATTCCTGGGATAAGGTAACCAAGGCTCCATGTTGTATATTGCAAAGACAGTGTCATCACTTGATAATCTTATTATATCCTGAGAAGGGAGACATTAAGAGAGCTTTTGGTTCAAATCTTGTCTAAACAGACCTTTCTAATAGTTTGTCTTCCTCCTCTAGTGTGGTAGAAGAAGAGACACGGAGGTCCCAGCAAGCTGCTCGGGATAAGCAGAGTCCTAGCCAGGCCAATGGTTGCAGTGACCACAGGCCCATCGACATCCTGGAAATGTTGAGCAGAGCCAAGGATGAATACGAAAGGGTGAGATGTTCTGGGTGCTGCCCAGGAAAGACCAAATGAGTCATTTAGAAGGTCTGCAGGGGCTTATGATCTGGGGAAGACACCAATAATTTGTTCAAGAAGAAGTATGTGGGTTTTTTTTTTTAAATGAAGTATGTGTTACATCGTTTTACACCTAAAAGATAAGGGAAGAAATCTGCTTATCTCAGAGTACTTGATTTTAACCAGATGCTGTCAAAATCAATAGAAAAGAATGCTCTTTTTCTATTCCTATACTGTTACTGTGGGAGAACATGGTTTTGGAGACTGGCGTTAGCTTGCTACAGATTGTGCTGGAAACGCTTCATGTGAAGACTTTTCTTCACCTCGGCAGTCTCACAGTCTCTGTTAAGGATGCTCACCGGGCTTGGAAATTTGTGTAGGCTTGATCATCATTGGCTTAGGAAAAATATTCTAATAATTTGTACCCCTTAATACTAAAAGGGAGTCCTGGTGTGACACTGTGGGCTAATGCATCAGACTGCAAAGTTGTTTGAACTGCAAGGTCAGTGGTTCAAGCTCACCAGCTGCTCCTTGGAAACCCTATACAGGGTCGCTATGGGTTAGAATCGACTCGATGGCACTTAACAACAACAACAGTATTAAAACGGATATTTTTTGTAGTGGATGCACAACCCTTGTAAACTTTACTCAAATGAGAGTGTTCTTGAATTCTGTTTTTTTCCATTTTCTCCTGTTTCATGTAAAAGTTAACTAATATTCTTCCAAAAAGTGAGTAAAATGGAAGTTTTGGTACTTCAGATAATTTACTCAGCACATATTTATAAACTGTCCACTGAAGACTAAGCGCTCAGGGAACGGTGGTCAAACCTGTCTGTGGAACTTTGATAGCTTTCACATGAGAGCAGTACCTCAATGCCATGGTTCACTGAAGTGAGACTAAAGGTTTCTACTGTTCTGGTTTGTTTCAGCAGAATTGTAATTGTCATCTTACCATTCACTAAACATTGGGTTAAGTACTTTTCTTTCATTTTTTTATTTGGTCCTTGTCTCACCAAAAATTCAAGGAGCAAGGTTTAAAAACACACTGTCTAAGACTGTTTCCCAAATATCCTGTTGTAACACTGACAATAGTTGTTAATAGATGAACTTTGCAAAAAGATTCCTTTGTCAAATGACTTTCGGAGATGTTGGCCTTTTGACTCTTTCTTCCCCATGCCTTCATGGGCTTTTATGGTGCCGAAGACGCCTAGCAGTCGCACAGTAAATTAAATGCTAAGGCTGCTTCTCAGATTCGCTTTTCAAGACCATCTTTTCGCACTACCAATTTAGACTTAAAATCTGGAGTTCAGGGAACATAATTGAAAAAGCACTCTGGAAAGTAATTTCCTTTATCTAAAATAAATAGTTTTATATATTGGGAGAAAGATTTGGCTTTCTGCTCCTGCAAAGATTTAAAGCCTCAGAAACCCTAGATAGTGTTGCGATGAGTTGGAAGCAACTCCACGACACTGAACAACAACTTACATCTGTGAAAATTAAATATAGGAAAATTCAGTCATCTGTTTTATGAATTTGTTCTTTAGAAACTGAATGAGAATGTTTCAAGAATCATTTTCTGGACTTCTGGGTTACTCACCCCACTTGACATTAATGAGACCTGAGTTTTTTGCTTAAGTACTTTGCATAAATTTCAGTTTTTTAGAGGCCTTGCTGTGATGACTGGATAGAAGGGCCACATAGGACAGAAACTAGGTGTAGTAAAGTTACATATTCTCAAGGAAGTTGCCTGGCTAATTTCTCATAAAGAGAAGCCAGTCACAGAAGGAAAGAGGAAAGGAGAGTAAAACCTTTGTCCACTAAGCTATGAAACAACTTTAGGGTCAAATGTGAAACCTAAAACTTGAACATGGTTTCTGATTATTCAAACATGGTCCTCAATTTGGAATAAATAAAATGCTGTCTTCCACTAGTTTAGGAATCCTGGTGTAGCACTGTAGGTTTAAGCACAGGACTGCAAGGTCACTTTGAATCACAAGGTCCATGGTTCAAACCCGCTTCTCAGAAGCCCTGTACATGGTCACTAGGCCTCACTGATGCCATTCAGTCCCAGATCTAATCTCCCTTGTCTGTTGTGTATAACATAATGAGTGAAATTCTAGTCTTTCAAATACAGCATTTATGTTATTAGAGATTTTTTAAAATATAAGCTCTCTATAATCATTTTTCCCATAGCTCCTGTAGTTTGTTTTAATTAGCTGTCCATTTTTCTAATGTAAGTAAAGGTGGTTGAAAGTATCATAATTTTAATCTTTCAAAATTAAAGTGAACACAAAAGAAAAACGTAATTCTACCACCTAGGGGTACTGCTGTGGCACTGTAGGATAAGTGCAGGATCACAAGTTCGGTTTGAAACAAAAAGTTGGCGGTTCAAACCCACCAGTTCCTCAGAAACCTTATGAGTTGGAATTAATTCAGTGTCACTTAAAAACAAAAAAATCTTGTTATGCAGTCTTCTAAAAATCTGTGTATTGTTAAGTGCTGTTGGATTGGATCTGACTCGGTTTCTGAGGTGGGTTTGAACTGCTGACCTTGCAGTTAGCACTCCAGTGCCTCTAGCACCACACCAGCAACTCCAAAAAAAAAAATACTGGTTTTACTAAAATACTCTTTTGTAACCTGTTTTTACCCCCACCACACAGGGTCTATTTTGTGATTGTTAAGTGCTGTCCAGTCGGTTCGGACTATAGCAACCCTGAATAGGGTTTCCCAGGTGTGGCTGGTGAGTTTGAACTGCCAACTTTGCAGTTTAAACCGACCTTGTGGTCTAGTGCGTATCTTACAGCGCCATTCATTGATAGTGACTATTAATTTCAAGTGATTACCGCTAGCATTCTGAAGAGGAGGTGTGTGAGAGGTTAGCCAGTGGGGGCATTTTGGGGCCCACTTCAACTGGAATATTTCTGCTTACCTATCTTTTTATTTTTATCTCTTGTGGATTCTTTGTGCAATTTCATTGGGAGAAAGAAAGGTTTTTGTTAAAACAGTTAATAGCTTTCTTCATTTAGTGAATAAAATGGGCCAGAGTAGACTTAGAGCCCATGGAGAACAAAAAAGGTCGCCTGCAGTTCATCAACACTTAGTTATTGCCAGATGAGCAGATACTGCCAGATCATTATCTCCGAAAATGGCAAGACTGAATTTTTATGTGAAAGCTCCCAACACTTTAAGATATTTCTAAACCTGTACACCTGTTTTAGGAACTTTCGAGTTTGTTTTGTCTAATTCAAGTTCATGCATTCTAACCATTTTCAATAATGTGATGATATTGATTGATGATAATGTTGCACAAAGATGAATGTGTTAGATTAAGATATTTCATAGGCTTTCACAGACTATTTCACATCTTTTTAAATGAGTTTGTTGTTAAGTGCCATCAAGTCGGTTCTGACTCATAACGACCCTGTCTAGGGTTTTTGGAAAGTGCCTAGTGGGTTTGAACCACCAAACTTGTGGTTGTGATCTAGTGCTTTATCCTACAGTGCCACACCAGAACGTCTTTAAATGTTTAGCACTGAGTAAATGGTATTCTGAAAAGATATAAAGACTAAATCATTTGAATAAAAAAAAAAAACAAAAAAACATTCATTCATTTAATAGTTGAGTGCTTTCTTTTATGCTCAGCATGTTGTTGGAGTCCTGGTGTGGTGCTGTAGGATAAGTGCAGGACCACAAGGTAGGTGGTTCAAATGCACCAGCTGGTCCTTGGAAACCATATACTAGGTTACTCTGAGTCAAAATCAATGCAATGGTATTAACAACAACGTATATAATCAAGAAAGCTAAATCTCTATAAGCTCTAGGTTAAGGCTTTTTTTTTTTTTTTTAACCATAGATTTTAAAGAATGTATGATGAGTTTAACAAATGGTATTAAAACACATTGATAATCCATATGCCCTGCCCTAAAAAAAAAAAAAAAATTAGATTACAGCCTTAATGTCACACCTTATATAAAAATCAAGCCAGAATGGATCACAGATCTAAATGTAGAGCTATAAAAGTTTTAAAAGAAAAATATATATACCATAAGGCCTAGCCCATGGTATACTTATTTTTATTTTATTTTTTAAGAATCAGATGGGTGACTCCGATATCTCTAGCCCTGGGTTACAGCCAAGCACTCAGCTATCCAATTTGGGAAGTACAGAGACTTTAGAAGATATGCCCTCATCGTCACAAGATAAGGTTTGTACATTAAAGCCCTCACTTTTTCCAGAGCAACAAAACAAAGAATTTTGTAAGGATATGAATGACATGTAAGTTTGATTTGTCACCTATATGTCAAGGTATGTGCATGCAGCAACATGTATCTGGCAGTATCATAACATCTATGTAGATCATTGCTCTGAGTCCACTTAACTGTCTTTGGTCTGGCTTTTTCTGTAACCTCCTATGTGCTCTCACAGCTTTTTTGACCTTGCTCCTCACCTATCTCCACCACTCATCTGTCAGTTTATCCCACTGTGGTAGTATGTGGTAGCTTGCTTGTGTTCCTAGAAGCTATATCTCTGCTATTTTGAATGCCTGCAGGGTCACTCATGATGGACAGGTTTCAGGTGAGTTTTCAGACTAAGACGGATTCAGACAAAGTAGAGGCAGACTACTTCCGAATGCTTAGCTACTGAAAACCTTGTGAATAGCAGTGAAAAACGCTTAGGCAGTGCCAGAATACTTAATATTGATATATGGCGAATAACACCAGAATATTGTCAGATATAATGCCAGAAGAACCCCTCAAGTTGGAAGGCATTCAAAATAAAATTGGGTAAGAGCTGCCTCCTCAAAATAGAATTGATCATGACGACGCAAATGCAGTAAACCTTTCAGTCTTCACTTGCTCGTGGGGCACAACTCAAAATGAGGAGAAACGGTGGTGGTGGTGGTGGTGGTGGTGTGCCGTGGAGTCGGTTCCAACTCATAGTGACCCTGTACAGGGTTTCCAAGGCTGTAAATCTTTACGGGAGCAGAAAGCCACATCTTTCTCCCACGGAACAGCTGGTAGTTATGAACTAGCTGTAAACATCCCTTAATAACTTGAACATGGAATGTATGAGTCTATCTTCAAGTATAATGCTGTCTCTGATAGGGTAGTATGCATACACCTACTAAGCGGACCAGAGTGAGTCCTGATGTGACACTGTAGGCTAAACATTGGAATGCAAGTTTGGTTTGAACCACGAGGTCAGTAGTTCAGACTCACCAGCTGCTCCTCAAAATCCCTACATAGGGTCACTGTGAGTTGAAACTGACTATAAACAGTGCTTAACAACAAGGCAGACAAGTTACTAACAGTATGATTCAAATTTATGCATCAACCACTAAAGCCAGTGATGATGAATTTGAAGAATTTTACCACTTACCAGTTTTAAAGTGATAAGATTTTGTAAAATAACAAAAATCTATATTATCAGAAACCATGTGGTAAAGTTAGCCCAAATCCATACTCAGCCCCTACACGCAGGTATTACATTTATTTTCAAATCCGTACTCAGCCCCTACACGCACGTATTACATTTATTTAGTAATAGTGCCATCTAGTGTTGAAAAACAAATAAACTGTCAAGCCTTATTAATGTTCCATACACTTGAATCCTTAAAAGTCACCTTGTAGTTAGATTTTTGTTTGTTTGTTTAGCACACCAAAGGGATGCAGCCAACCCATACCTCACACTGGATGGCTCCAAACTCTGGGAAAGCAGGGTCTGTACTTAGGGGACATAAGGGTGGGATGGCCCTATTTCTGGTCCCCTGGGGAAATTAAGAAATCACACCTTGTACGTCACCTGTACAAATCTTCTCTGCATGGCCTTCCTCCGCTGCCACAGCCTCCCACAAGATGGTGAAGCCGCATCTGGCCAGCCATTCAGTAGTCAGTCTCCCTCTCTCGCTCTCCCTGAAAGCACTCTATCCACCTCTAGCTTTTCTTCTGAAGGTCAAGGTGCCAAAGTTTTCATCAGTGTCTGCTTTATTTTAACTCTCATATCTTTGTTTGTATAGGTCAGTGTAGTGCATCTGCCTATTCTGCCATCTTGTCAGAAGTTAGTCTTCCTCTTTTTCATTGACCCTCCACCTTACCAAGCATGCTGTCTTTCTCCAGGGACTGGTCCCTCCTGATATGTCCAAAGTATGAAAGACAAAGTCTCGTCGTCCTGGCTTCTAAGGAACATTCTGACTCGACTTTTTCCAACACAGATTTGTTTGTTCTTCTGGAAGTCTGTTATACCGTCAGTGTTCTTCTCCAACACCAAAACTCAAATGTATCATTTCTTCTATGTTCTTACTTATTCATTGTCCCAACTTTTCACATGCATATGAGACTATTAAAAATACACGACTTGGGTCAGGTGCGCTTTGGACCTCAAAATGTTATCTTTGTTCTTAAACACTTTAAAGAGGTCCTGTCCAGCAGATTTACCTAATTCAGTAATACGTTGTTTGATTTCTTGATTGCTGCTTCCGTGAGCATTGATTAAGGATCCAAGCAAAATGAAGACTTTGATAACTTCAATCTTTTCTCTATTTTTCATGATATTATTTATTGGCCCACTTGTGAGGATTTTTGTTTCTTTCACATTGATATGCAATCCATACTGATCTTCATCACTAAGTATTTTAAGTCCTTTTTGCTTTCAGCAAGCAACTTTGTTATCATTGGCATATTATATGTTGTTAATGAGTCTTCCTGTAATCCTAATGTCAAGTTCTTTATATAATCCAGCTTCTTGGATTATTTGTTCAGCATTCAGATTGAATAAGTATGGTGAAAGAAGACAGCACACTTTTCCTGAAAATGTACAGTATCATTATGAAAAAGTTTGAAATATTATGAGATACATGGATTAGGCAAATGCTTTTGAGAAAACTTGCTCACTGTATGATTGCCACAAACCTTCTATTTGATTTTCAACAAACACAAAAAAGAGGTATCTGCAAAGCATAATAAAGCAAGGTATGGAGTTCTCATTTGGCACTGTAGGGTAAGCACTGGACTGCTAACTGCAAGCTTGGCAATTCAAGCCCACAAGCCACTCTTTGGAACCCTATACAGGGTTGCCATGAATTGGAACCAACTCAACAGCAAGTAACAACAACATATATCTATACATTAGGATTTTACTGTTATCAGGAGAAACCAGTTCCTAGAAACGGACATCATGCTTGGTAAAGTGGAGAGTCAGCAAAAAAGCGGAAAACCCCCAAAGGACTGGATTTACACAATGGCTGTAACAGGTCTGGAATTGAACTAGTCTCATGATTCCGTTTTCAACCAAATAGTATATAGATCTATAGGGGTGCAATAACACTTGTGAGATACACACATTTGAGATAAAAAAGGTAGCATTTACCCAAAGGTCAAAAGGCTTAGGAAAGGAGGAGGAATGGAAACAAGAAACACAGGGAGGAAGTGAGGTTATATTGAGGGAATTGGCCATTAGTGAGATGAAACAAAATGTGTATGAATTGTTAGATGTAAAACTGATGGTTTTCTTTCTAGCCCTTCACCCAATTCACAGTAAAAAAGTTAAGGGAGAACAAAAACCATTGAGTTCTAAACTGCTGCGTCCTTGATAATTCCTCACACCAGGGAGTGACAGGATGGTTCAGAGTAAACAACACAGCCTTGGTAGCCCACCAAATAATTTTTCAGTTGCTTTATATTATGAGGGTATGATAATTCTAGAAGGTGAGTTTTTAATTTGGCATCCATGAAATGATTTTCATAATAGCCAACTTCCATTATTAAGTGCCTGTTGGTCATAAGACCTTATACTGTGAATTTAACTTTTACAACAGCTCTGTGAAGTAATTACTACACTTATCCCAGTTTTCCAGATGAGGAAACTAATAGGTTATGTAATCTTCCCAGGTAACATGGCTAGGAATTGAAACTACATATCTTTGAGTCCTGGTGTGATGCTGTAGGATAAGCACTGAACCACAGGGTTAGTGGTTCAAACTCACCAGCTGCTCCTCAGAAACCATATACAGGGGCTCTATAACAGCAATCTTTGATTCTAGACTCCAATTCTAGTTTTCTCAGATTGAAAAATGGGAAGAAATAGGACCATAAAATCTTGTGCTTTTTTTATATCCAGAGTTTATAATTATATGTTATTACTGCCCTATATTTGAAGTAAGATTCCGAATATGGAAAATCTCATAACATGCCAGAAAGTGTTGGAACAAGACAGTCTTTCTACAGTATTATTAACTGAAGCCTAAATTTGCTATTTGAGGATTCATTGACTTAAAGGCCTCTTGTCACATTAACTTGCCAAGATATGTTAACTGTTCAATATTAATAGAATTTTCTTCATTGAGTTTTGCTGGGAAAAAATGACTTAGTATGAAGTTACAATTTTTTACCACTGCCTCTTCCTCTACAGTAGTTGTTTCAAGCACCTGCACTCTCCTCAGATCTGCGCAACCACCTCTTACCTAGCAGACAATGCTGTCCCCACACCAGGAAAAGTACAAAATTGTACTCCCTTAATTTTCTGCCCCTCACATGCAAATGTCCCTGCATCCTCAGTCATCGATGTTAGCCTCTTCCCTGGTATTTGACATGAGTCGCTCCTAAACAAAGGGGATCCTGTATCTACCCCTTAATGATACTATTCTGGATGAATGCCCTTTGTCCTGCATGCCTTTCTCTGTCTGGGGGTGTTTGGGGAGAGAGGATTGTTGAGCATCTGCTGCATCCTTATTAGATCTGTGGTACTGGGGGTGGGGGGGGCATTGTTTGGACAGGAAGGAGGGCAGCAATCCCCAGTGAGGATGATAGCCCCTGTCCTGGAGGACAATGTGTTGGGTTCTCTACATTTAATTCTGCCCACTTTCAAGAGATTGCTTTCATTGGGTGGTTTGATCTGTTTTTCAGTCGGCTCCATCTGGACACAAACATCTGACAGTGGAAGAATTATTTGGAACTTCTTTGCCAAAGGAACAGCCTATGGTTGTGGGTCCTGATGCAGAAGAAATGGAGAAGCTACCAGGAGATGCCTCTCAGAAAGATCCCAGCTCATTCCTCCCGTTTTCCTTTGAACAGTCAGGAGGGGCCCCTCAATCGGAAAACCTGGGTGTTCCGTTTGCTGCCCCCCAACTTGAAATCACCACCCCAGTGCTCATCACTCCTGCCTCCATAACGCAGTCCAGTGAAAAGCATGCCCCAAGCTACGTGATCCCGCTGAGCCCTGTTCTCAGTCCCACTATGCCAGCAGAAGCTCCTACTGCACAGGTTCCCCCCAGCTTACCTCGAAACAGCACCACAATGCAGGCAGTAAAAACCGCGCTGAGACAGAGGTCTCCACTCCTCAATCAGCCGGTCCCTGAGCTAACCCAAGCCTGTCTGATTGCCAGCCAGAGTCCCTTCAGGGCCCCACTGAGTGTGACAAGCACAGCTGCTACTTCCCTCACAAGTGTGGATCTTCTCCAGAAACTCAGGTTGACTCCACAGCATGACCAAATACAGACACAGTCACTTGGGAAAGGTGCAGTGGTACCCAGCTTTCTTCCAGCATCTGGCCAACTGGCCACACCTGAAAGCTTCATAGAGCCTCCTAAAACTGGAGCAGCCAGAGCAGCAGCCTCAGCCTCCCTGTGCAACGTGGTGCTCTCTCCCCTTCAGGTACTAACAGGATGGGGAAGGAGTGCATCGGGGAGTTAACTATAATTACGTAGTGTCAACTTGCCAAAGCCATGGTTTTGCAGGCGTTGGGGTAATTTTGAAGAGCACCTGTTAAGTGTGTTGGGCTAGAAAGGGGAGGTAAGAAGTCCTGTAGTAAACAACTCAGTTCACTTCTCAAAATTATTTCAACAGATAAAGGCGAACAAAACTTTGTTGCATTCCCGGCTCCTTCAATACTTTCATTTTGGTGCCTACTTTGTGCCTGGCATTCTAGGGGTGCATTCCAGATTTGTAGGCATGAGGCAAATAAAGCCTTCCAGTGAAACCAACATTTAAGCCTGAATCTTGCCTAGAGGTGGCAGGAGCATTTGAGGCAAGGAGAATGGTGGTGGTGGTGGTGGTTATATGCCGTGGCGTCAATTCCAATTCAGCGACCCTGTACAGGGTTTCCGAGGCTGTAAATCTATACAGGAGCAGAGAGCCTCATCTTTCTCCCACAGAACAACTGGTAGTTTGGAACTGCTGGCCTTGCGGTAACCACTACGCAGATGCAAAACCCTAGCAGTAAGAAGGCATTTGAAGAACTTAAAAGAACCATAGTGTAACCTACTTTTTTAATAGTTGTTGTTGTTAGGTGCCATTAAAAAAGTCTACTACACTAAGATGAGCAAGACTTTGTAAATTGTGTCATGAAGGTGGAGCTTTGTTTTCAGAGCCCTGGGAGTCTTTGAAGGGCATTGAGCCAAGGGTAACGTGCAGGAAAATACATAGGAATAGGACAACCCATCAGGAAGGAGGCTGTGGCAGCCACCTAGGAAAGAACTGGTAGAGACTTCAATTTGGGAGAATGGACAGGTGGATTTGCTAATGTGTATAATCAGTGGAACATAGTAATTGGATGTGGGGGTTGAGAAGAGGTTTGTCCCTCACAATAAATCCTTAAGGTCTGAGTTTACAGAGAAAAGTAACTCAGCTGAAGTGACATGCAAAGTCATACAACTGAAAGGAATACAGCCTTCTATTCTACAGTAGCATTGGTTGCCTTTCAAGATTTTATTTAGAGGGTGCTCTTTTGTAATAATAATAATCTCCAATCTTAACTTTTACCAAATAATAATGTGTAGAAGAGCCATCATAGTAATTGTATATCCTTTTAGTTAATAGAGTATTTTCTTCTATTTCCTTGAAACCTCATATAGTAAGAAAGGAAACAGTATTGTGGTAACATTGCGGTGTCATTTTTTGGCTATTTCTGCTGAAGTTTTCTGATACATAAAACAGGAGAGAATATTTAGTTCAACAGACAGGAATCATACCCCTCAAATGCACTAGCAATCTGGGAAGCTTTGGGAGAGCCTGATCAGAATGCTGTCCTCTCCAGACCATGGCCTCGGGGACACAACCTGCTCTCTAGCCCATCTCCTGGCAAGGGAAGCAGCATCATGTAAATTTCCATATATTTGGCAGTTTCTAATATTAAGGGAGTCCTGGTATGGTACTGTAGGGTAAACACTGGACTGCTAACCACAGGGTCGATATTCAAACCTACCACCCACCCCTCAGAAACCTTTACAGGATTGCTATAAATTAGAATCAACTCAGTAGCATTTAACAGCAACAATCTAATATTAGGACTCAGGACATCACTGAGCGCTAATGTCTTTGCTTTGCAATAAGAAACCCAGTGAGTGAGGATAAAATCTAGCATGGAGAATGACTGGGTGAAGACTGTATGTAGTATTACTTGTCCAAAGTTTAAATCACCTCATCAAGAGGTCTTAGGGTACCAGATGTCTCATCTAGACAGAACTTGGCCACAAAAACAAGCTTGAGTAAGTATCCCCAGCTTTTGTAAGAGAGAGCAGTTTCAGCTGTTTTCTGAGTAACACCTTGAAGACTTTATATGCACCCCTGTTTTTTGAGAACTAAAAATGGGAGGAAAAACTGTCCTATAACTCTCACAGTAAGTAAGCTTGTCAGCATCTTCCTTCTAGAATCTAGGAACTAATTAATATCTGAAGCATACCTCACTGCTTACCTACATTTTTCACCAGTGACAAAATCTTAGCTGGTACCTGCCACATCTGTTCATCTCTTCCTTTTAAATATTGCAGTCTATGCAGCAGAGCCAGGACTCTGAAGTATTTGTCCAGCCTAAGGTGTCATCCAGTGCCATACCGGTAAGGGTTCCCTTTTACTGGAAAACACAGTATGTATGTTTTTGTTTGTACTAAAGACTTCTTTAAGAAATTTGGTCTCTGACACCTATAATTTTTTTTTATATTGAACACTACCAAAGAAACTTGCTGCGTATAACTAGATTTGCTTTAATTTTCTGTTTCCAATTGAAGTATAATTTGCATACCATAAAATGTAGCATTTTCATTGTTCCTAAGAGTTCTGCCTGCCTTCTTAAAATCGTTTTCCTACCTCCATTTGGCTGGACTTACATTTTTGATTTATCATACTATGGTTCTTACTGTTCATGTTATTCTGTTTACCATGTTTGTCTGCTGCAGTCATTGGACTTGATTACCCATAACAGTTGTAAGACTTTCTTGTCATATAAATGGACTCTATTCTTTAGCTCAAAGAAGCTTCATGTTGGTGTTAGGTGCCATTAAGTCGGTACCGACTCATAGCGACCTTAAGCACAGGAGAACGAAACACTGCCCGATCCTGGACCAACCTCACTACTGTGGCCACGCTTGCATCCATTGATGCTGCCACTTAGCCAATCTATTTCACTGGGGGTCTTCCTCTTTTTCTCTGACCCTCCACTTTACCAAACATATCCTTCTACAGTAACTGGTCCCTCCTGACAATATGTCCGAAGTGTAAGAGATGAAGTTTGGCCATCCTGGCCTCCAAAGAGCACTCTGGCTACATTTCTTCCAAAACGGATCTGTTGGTTCTTTTGGCAGTCCATGGCACTTTGAATATTCTTCTCCAACACCATAACGGATCTATTGGTTCTTTTGGCAGCCCATGGCACTTTGAATATTCTCCTCCAATACCATAACACAAGAGCATCAGTTCTTCTACAGTCTTCCATATTCACTGTCCAGCTTTCATATGCATATGAGGTTATTGAAAATACCATAGCTTGGGTCAGGCGCACCTTAGTCCTCCAGCTGACATTTTTGCTCTTCAACGCTTTAAAAAAGTCTTGTGCAGCAGATTTGCCTAATGCAATACGTTGTTTGATTACTTGATTGCTGTTTCCGTGAGTGTTAATAGTTAATCCAAGAAGAAGGAAGTCCTTGACAACTTCAGTCTTCAATCTTTTCTCCGTTGATAAGAATGTTGTTTATTGGTCCAGTGGTAAGGTTCTTTGTTTTCCTCCAATCCTAATGCCACCTTTTTCTTCATATAACCCAGCTTATTGAATAATTTCTCAGCATACAGGTGGAATAAGTATGGTGAAAGAATACAACCTTGTCGCACACCTTTCTTAATTTTAAACCATTCAGTGTTCCTATGTTCTGTTCAAACAACTGCCTCTTGGTCATGTACAGATTCCTCATGAGCACAATTAAGTGTTCCTGAATACTCATACTTCGCAATACTATCCATAGCTTGTCATGATCCACACAACCAAAGCCTTTGCACAGTCAATAAAGCACAGGTAAACATCTTTCTAATATTTTCTGCTTTCAGCCAAGATCCATCAGACATCAGCAATGATATCCCTTGTTCCACAGCTTGAACTTCTGGAATTTCTCTGTCAATGTATGCTTGCAGCAGTTTCTGTATTACAATTAGTAAAACTTTACTCGCATGGGATATCAAAGAGATTGTCTGATGGTTTCCGCATTCCATTGGGTCACCTCACTTTGGAATGGGCACAAATACGGATCTCTTCCAATCAGTTGGCCAGATAGTTGTCTTCAGAATTTCTTGACAGAGATGAGTGAGTGCCTCCTGTGCCGGCTCATTTTCTTGAAAGATTTCAATGTTTATTCCATCAATTCCTGGTGCCTTGTTCTTTGTCAATTCCTTCAATGCAGCTTGGACTTGCTTCTTAACAGTACCATTGGCTCTTGATCATATGCTACCTCTTGAAACGATTGAACATTAACTATTTCCTTTTGGTACAGTGACTCTGTCTATTCCTTCCATCTTCTCTTAATGCTTTCATCATCATTCAATAATTTGCCCACAGAATCTTTCAATAACAATAGTCGAGGCTTGAATTTTTTCTTCAGTTCCCCCAACTTGAGAAATGCTGAGTGTGTTCTTCCTTTTTGGTTATCTGATTCCAGATCTTTGTGTATTTTGTTGTAATATTTGGCTTTATCTTCTCAAGCTGATCTTTGAAATTTTCTTTTCATCTCCTGCACCTCCTCATTTCTTCCCTTTGCTTTAGCATCTCTACGCTGCGGAGCAAGTTTCTGTGTCTGTTCTGACATCCATTTTGATCTTTTCTTTCTCAATGACTTTTTGCTTTCTTCATGTATGATGTTCTTGATGTCATTACACAACTCTTCTGCTCTTCGGTCTTTAGTGTTTAATGTATCAGCTGTGTTCTTCAGATGATCTCTAAATTCAGGTGGGATATATTCAAGGTCATATTTTAGCCATATGGACTTATTTTCATTTTCTTCAGCTTCAGTTTGAATTTGCATATGAGAAATTGATGATCTGTTCCACAGTCTGCCCCTGGCCTTGTTTGGTTTTTGTTTTGGTTTTTTTTTAATGTTTTTAATGTGAATTATATGAGAACAATAGTTTTACATTCATCCTATCATATCTCATTTCATTGCCATGGTTACAATCCCCTCCATGCATCATCAACCAACCAAAGGGTATACACTACAAATCTGCTCCCCGGTTGACAGCACACAGTCCCTCTCCCTCTCTGGATCCAAAGTCCCCAGCCGCTTCAGCACTCCATGTCATCGTCTCTGCCTCTATCTCAGGCCTCGCTGCTTCTCTGGGTAGGGTCCCGCTCTCGGCTCTTCTCCATTGATGGTCCTAGAGACCTCCGCTCCTAGACTGGAGAGTTAATCACTCCCTTTCTTGCTATAAAATGTCTACCTTTACATTTCCAACCCTCACAGTCCTGATAACAATTTTTCACTATTGTATCACAAGTGACCCATCTGCGTTTCATTTCATCAACTCCGCCTAGACAGATTGGATAATACTGGAGATTCTGCCTTCCTCCATGCCCCCTGGCTCTAGGTCCCCTCTTGAAAGCTTGTAATCCAGTCACTTCTTGCCTTTGTACTCTCTCCACCCACCCCCATTTTGGATATCCAGTGTCCAAGTTGCCCATCTCTGTCTACTCTGTGTGTGGAGCGGGGGTGGGAATGATTCTTGCTGTAAGGATTTGTTCCCTCTTTTGAGTTACTGCATCCATAGGTGTAGGTCAAGTTCATCAAATTGTATCAGATTACTCTTTTTTTTCCTCTTCTTTCTTCTGGTTGAGCTCTGATCATCCAGTCATTGAAGCCAGGACAAGTAGCTATTATCTGCAAGTGTGGGTGTTTTTGTGCATCTGCCCTTTCTTATCAACTGGACTGACCTTGTTTTGACTGATGATATGGAGCTTTTCCATCATCTCTTTGCACAGATGTAGTCAGTTTGATTTCTGTGTATTCCATCTGGTGAGGTCCATGTGTCGTCTTTTATGCTTTCTAAAGAAGGTATTTGAAATGAACAAATGATTGATTTTGCAGAATTCTGTCATGCATTCTGCAGCATCATTTCTATCACCAAGCCCGTATTGTCCAACTACTGATCCTTCCTCTTTGCTCCCAACCTTTGCATTCCAGTCACCAGTGATGATCAATACATCTTGATTGCATGTTTGATCAATTTCAGATTGAAGAAATTGGTAGGATTCTATTTCATCTTCACTGGCTTTAGTGGTTGGTGTGTAAATTTGAATAATAGTGGTATTAACTGGTCTTCCCTGTAGGCACATGGATATTATCCTATCACAGACAGCATCGTACCTCATGGCTGATCTGGATATGTTCTTTTTGACAATGAATGCAACACCATTTGTCATTCCTGGCATAGTAAACCATGTGGTAGTCAGATTCAAAATGGCCAATACCAATCTATTTCAGCTCACTAATGCCTAAAATATAAATGTTTATGCGTTCCATTTCATTTTTGACAACTTCCAATTTTCCAAGATTCATACTTCATACATTCCATGTTTCAATTTTCAGTGGATGTTTACAGTGTTTCTCTTCATTTTGAGTTGTGCCCCATCAGCAAATGAAGGTCCCCCAGGCTTTTCTCCTATGGGCTTTACTCCATTCACATCATCATGGTCGTCAACTCTCCTTTGAGGTGGCAGCTCTTCCCCAGTCACATTTTGAGGGCCTTCCAACCTGAGGGGCTCATTTTCTGGCACTATATCTGACAGTGTTTTCTGCTATTCATAAAGGTTTCAGTGACTAAATATTCAGAAGTAGTTTGTCACTCCTTCTTCGTAATCTGTCTTCATCTGGAAGCGTATCTGAAACCTGTCCACCATGGGCGACCCTGCTGGTATTTAAAATACCGGTGGCATAGCTTCCAGAATCACAGCAACTCATAAGTCATCACAGCACGACAAACTCAGATGCTTTTACTCAATATTCTTTACCAGCAACCAGTAGCATCTGACTCTGCTTCTATGTCCTACTCTGGTCCTGAATACTGCCTTCTACATTTTGATGCAGAATCACCCTTATTTCTCTGTAGGTGGCAGGCCCCCCACTGGTTACCGCAGCGACTCCGGCAATACCTTCTCTTCTGCTATCCCCAAGTGTTTTCCAGCAGGCAACTACAAGATCCACAGAGCTGGAAAGGAAAGCAAACTCACCTTCCCCTCTAACTGTGGGAACATCAGAAAATCAGAGAAAACCTTCCATCATTCTCAGCAAAAGTCAGCTCCAGGATACATTAATACACATGATAAAGGTATGTAAAACAGCAGTTGAGTCTTGTGCTTTTTGTTCTTTTATAGAAGAAAGCAAATTTATAGATTTTCCTTAGAAAGCCAGTACCAAAGAATAGCTAGGAGTAATGTTTCTCTCTTCCCGAGCATATACTGCTGATGGAAGAATATCTAAAAGAAATATCTAAAATACTATTCATGGTTTGATTGTCTCTGGGTAGTGGGATTTGGGGGACTCCTGGTGTGGCACTTACAGTGGCAAGATAAGCACTGGGCTGTTTGTACAAGTTATTTCTAACCTGTTATCAAGGAAATAAGTTCTGATGAGATAAAGGTGTCATTCCGTGTTATGATCTTTTCCAGAATGATTCCAGCTTTCTCAGTACACTTCACGAAGTCTACTTGCAGGTTCTGACCAAGAACAAAGACAACCTCAGTCTATGACTGGGGCTGTGTCAATGTGAAGGCAGCCTGTCAACGTCAGAAACCAATAGGCTTCATCATGGAAATTTCTAAACAGAACATTGAATTTTGAGAATCCTGAAATTGAGCCTATAAGAAAAGAGACTCATCCCTTAAGAATGTTTTCCAAGTGACATTCTCAGTGACGACAGAGGTTTCACTGTGAAGCATCACCAGCAGACCTTTGTTTTGACAAAAAAAGGACTGTCATTAAGTTATGTAGACATTTTCATCAGCTGTGATTATGTGGACTGGGGAGTCTAATTTTCCACTTGCAGTCCTTTTCATGGACTTGGGGAGGAGGAGTCACCAGCTTTGCAGCAGTCCGAGTTCAGCCCAGCCTGCACTTTTACTCCCACCTCCTACCTCCTAGTAATATGACTCATTTGGACGTTAGGCTGATAGTGAAGCTCTGAGCAGAGTCCAGTCAGCTCTGTGGGAAGTAACTTCGCATTTTAAGAATCAGAGTTTTAGGTTGGAAAATTGAGAGTGATTTGTCTAGGTGAAGTCTGTTTTATATGAATGTCCCATTTGGGCCGTACGAGTTCCATCATTTCTTAACTATGTTTCATTTTAAGTGTCCCCAGTCCTGCCATGCATCGGGCTCCCATTGTCACGTCACTGTTTGAACAGGGCCAGTTCAGGCCCTGTGGTGGTGTGGCTGCAGGCATGTCACACCTGTGAAGCAAAGACTGGGGTTGGTAAACCCAAATCCTATCAGAAATCTTCACACTAAAATGAGCTCTCTGCAGTGGTTTTAAGAGTGTTCTGTTTGTATGTGAAGCATAGCCTTATTTTCCTTTTCTAGGTAAACACCAGGAAAATGTCATTGATTATTTTCCTTAACATTTTGACAAAAGGACCGATGGACCAATATGACAAAGCCATTCTGGTTCCATTCCTCATGTACTGAGAGTAGTTTTAAAGCTATGCAGAAAAAGGAGCTATTACTCACACTGCCCTTACTTTGTTGTAGCCTATGGAGTTGAAAAAAAGTGTGAAATTAAGAATTTTACCAATGTATTCCTAGGCTGTGAGTATTTTTCCAGCCCCAAGTTTGAAAATATGTAAAGATGCTGTGTTATGCTGCTATTAATCTGCCATGATTTATATTTATTCTTTTATGGCATGTAATGGTGATTAGTAATATTTTAATGTAGGTTTTGATTTATTTCAGCAGTAGTAATTTTAAGATAATCCTTTGAATGAAAGTGTCTTTGTTTCTATGATACAGGTCATTTTGTAGTATTTAACCAATTAAGATGCACTGCTTACTTTTCTGAGCACTATTTAATGATGGGGTAAAAACCCAATTGGCTCAACCAGCTAGCATAAGGATTAGCTGTGAATAATGCTGACAGATGTGATTGTTCCTCGGGAATGATCATTTAAGCTTTAATGGTAACTCAATCATAAATCCATAGATTTTTCTAGCTGAAATTTTTAAGAATTCCTTGTGAATTACATGTTTGTTTTAGTTTGGTCTTTGTTTTTTAGCATTAAGAATACTTTAATTGGATTTCGTTAATCTAGATATGCTTCCTGAACAATTTTTCTGCTTCGCAATTTATTGTCTTCTATTGCTGTCTACCTAGTTATGTGTGAATTGTACAGAATTCAGGAAAGCTTTTATTTAAGTTCTCACACTCAATTAGGAATTGTTTGTTTTCAAAGATAGTATATAAAACCAAAATGAATTGTTCATGCATCATCCAGGAAAGAGAGTTGTAATAAGGACTTGTGTTGCTGACACCAGGAGATGTGGTGTCCAGGGAGCTATGTGACTGTTCTCATAAAATGGATGCACCAGTAGGTTTCATCATACCCACAAGTGTTGTCTCTCCGGGCTTTGGTAAACAGAAGAATCAAGGGATTCTTGTTATAATAGACATTTGAGTTGAATGTACAATATTGTGAAAGAGTTAAGAGAAAATATCTTAGAGGGTTTATAAGGATTTTCACCCTTTAATCCAAGGAATGAATATGATAGTAAGGAGAATCTATGATAAGGTTTCCCTCAGTGTGAAGCTAAACTTTTAAGTGCCCAAGTCATGGTGACTTGAAAAGGGTAAACCAGCTTCAACTCCCTAATTTGTATATTTGAAGCATTTAATTAATATACAGAAACCAGAAGCTCGTGGTTGTTATTACCAGAAAGTTCAGGCCAGAATGAGTCCCTAGAGAAGCCAGGCCAAGCCTGGATAACTGTAGTTGGATGACACTGGCCTGAAAATTGCAGTTCAGTTGCCTTATTCCTCATTCAAGCTTGCGATCCAGAACCTCATGCTAGCTTAGGTTGCATGTTTACATTACTGTCGTGTCTTTATTAGAACCTTAGTGTAAAACTGTTTAGAATCTAAACAGACACTAGAAAAAGAGATGTTTCCTGCTAGGTTTGGGTTAGACCCCAAGAGACCTATATTCAGGGCATTCTGTGTGCCCAGCCCCAGGCCTGGGTGCAGACAAGGGAGAGGAGCAGCCCAGAGCTTGGAACGGGAGTGTGTCTAGGGTGTCACTGGGGGTGGACCTGCCTTTCTCTATGTAATGGTTGGTGACTTTAAATGGACTCATGCATTCTTCCAAACAGCCATGCTCCTTGTAAGGCAGATGCTCCTCTTGATATCTCAAATCTGTCATGAGATTTGAGATGTGAAAGTTGGCCTGGTTGACTTTGGATCCTGTCTTTTCATGTCAGGAGAAGCAGGTCATGCTGTCTGCATGTGGAATATCCACAGCGAACCATCAAAGCTTATGGGTAGCCATTAGAGAAGCACCTGAGTTGACCTGGATCCTTGTTGTCCAAAGGATGCACAGGCTTAGTTTAGAAAATATCTGAACAGGTTTTGCATGTCACGGATTTGGTTTTTTGCTAGTCTATATTTTCTTTTAAAAATTATAAACCCCATTGAATCCTCTACTAGGTAAATATTTTTAAACCATGCAGCTTTATTACTCTCCTCCCCAAAGAATGTTGTTTGAAATTTTCTTTTTTGGTAGTGGAGACTGTGACTGCCATTCTTTTACTAATAATGCAACGTGAAACTGAAGGTGCCTAACTGCTTTAAAAAACAAAATCCATCATTATACTGTAACACTGGGCCAAACATAAACAGAGGAATGAGAGTCAGCACGGGCACAAGTGACTCAACCCTTGTGAGTGAAGAGACAGGAGGGAATCCCAGGAATGTCTGTCCTGCGTTCTTGCTGCACATTTGCTGCTGAACATGTTTGTTTCTTACCTACCTTTGGTTTCCTTTAGTTGTGTTGAAAGTACCTTCCAGAGCCAATAATGGCATGTGTTTTCAAGTATCTAAATTATAAAAATCTAAAGAAAGCGAAGTAACTTACACTAGGCTTCTCAAAAGATGTTCTTGAGAATACTTTCCCTGTGTGGGCCGGGGCCTCCTGGAGCCTGTTTTCCAGCACATCCACCAGGATACATGTGTTCAGTGTTTCACTCGGTTTTATATTTAACATCTTTATTTAAAATGCTAAGATGGCAATATTCACTTTGAAGTGGGAAATATGCGAAAAAACAAAAACCTGTTTCCCTTTTAGCCGCGTGATTCCTCAAGAAATGTGTTTTTGAAATACGTGTTCTAAATGGTTTTTTTATTCTGTATTACTGCTTTGGCCATGTGGCTCTTACGACTTTCAGTGTACCAGATTCTCCACTCCCTGAAATGCGGGGGTGAGAAGCTCTGAAGTTACAGCAAGATTTTTCTTCCATGAGCGCAATACTGCATCATTAACATTTTTAATGGTATGGATTTTATACCATCTGTGTATGTTTGCAAATATTAAGTTATTACATGTTTTAAAATGAGCATTTTTCATTCTAAATTTTATATGTTTGCAAATATATTTTTTTAATAAAATTTCAAAACCAAGTTTTAGCACCTACTAAATTTCAATTGTGTTTTTTTATTCAATGTCTAGAAGCAGAGAGTTTTGGTTAGGTTGCTGGAGTTTTCCAGAGCCTCATACTAGTGAGATGAGTTAGACTGAGCAGGTAAACTCAGCAGGGAAAACCCACATCTAGCCATTCCCAGCCAGCTGCAGTACAGACCAACCACACACAGTAGTGTCCGCTCTAAGCCTTGAGTACAGGTGCCCATCAAATGAGCGCTTCCCTCCCTGGTAGTTGAACACTAAACAAAGTTCAATTCATACAGGTAGATGGATATATAAGGAACTTGATTTATTCTCCTAAGATTGTTGTTGTTGTTAAGTGCCAACGAGTCGGTTCCGACCCATAGCGACCCTGTACAGGGTTTCCGAGGGTGTAAATCCTTACGGGAGTAGAAAGACTCATCTTTCTTCCGCAGAGTGGCTGGTAAGTTTCGAAACACTGACCTTAAGGTACGCAGCCCGATTAGTAACCACTATGCTACCAGAGCTCCTTTAGCTCAGATAAAGGGTGCAATTCTAATCATGGGAGGAGGTTTCTTATTGGGGACCTTGCTGGCTTGTTTGTTTCCTACATTTATTCAAATTCATTTTTGTTGAGCTCTTGTTACGTGTCAGGTGTCTTGGCTGACAAGAGAAGGAACGGTTTCTCTCAAGCAGAAACCCTAATAGAGAATGATGATTTGACATAGGTCTTCTAGAACCTAGGAATGAGGCGTACTTAGATGACCAGAAGAAGGCAGTTGCAGGACATATTGAGTACAGAGACAGACATACAGGTCACACAAAACATAAAGCACAGACTCTTGATTACTCTTTTATTTTAATGGAAAGTTTCCTTTTAAAAAGTTTAAAAATAAAACATGCTCATTGAGAAAAATAAAGGTTTAAAATTTTAAGAAAAAGATTTAATCATACCTCTCCCAATAATCACTGTTAGCTTTTTAGTATGTTCCCAAATGAAATTCTCTCAAATGTTTGCTTTACCTGCCTACCTTCTGAGAACAGAGCATGTGCTAACCCTTGCTTTATGACTGTGACTATTTTATACACACACACACATTCAGTCATCATTAATGCTGCATGCTCATTCAGAACATACAAATTGTTAAGTACTGCATAGTCAGCTACAACTCATAATGACCCTATATAGGATTTCCAAGACTTCAAATCATCTTGGGAGCAGAAAGCCTCCATCTTTCTCCCAGTTTAGGGAGGAGGAAGAAAGTTAGAGTGATTGAGAGATGTGCCAAAGGTTGCATAGTGAACCAGTGGTGAATCAAGGACCCAAA